AAATCACTGGATACAACTGATCCCGGAAATAGATTTCCGGCATTATCTATAGTGAAGCACAATATAGAGACTGTCTGTCTGTTTTCGACATAGAACTTTGCACAAATGTGCGGAAGTTCAAGTCGCCACACTCCCTCCATGTAGCACACAAAGCAACAGAAGAAAGTACAAGAAAAGCATTATAGAGGCAGTAAGCAGAGGTGTGAGACAAAGGAAGAGTAATAACGAAGAACAAAACAGTTTCATTGGAAATCATAAGTCACAAGGAGTGGATGAATCTGCGCCACTGAGAACGAGCCATTTCACCAATTGTTTCCAACCATTGGTTTTTACCGTCCCGAGGACCCCAGCCTGGAAGTCTACACCTTCCTACGTGGTTTAGGCCTGGGTGGCATGTTTTGGTTTGATCTCCGCCAGCTTTTTTCCAGCCTGACCCTATATCCGCTAACATTACTCGTCGAGGAAGGCGATGACTAGGCATACGTAACACATGTCCTAACCATCTCAGTCTTTGTAACTTCACAACTTCGTCGATTGATTTCCCCCGTTTACCTAGCACTCGACACCTCACCTCAATGTTGCTCATCTTATTATACCACTTCACACGGGAGATAGAATGCAGGCACCTATGATCAAATACAGCTGGCTAGTCTTTTCATGTCTTCCACTCGCAGTGGTCATGTCTCGCTCACAGACATAAAGGAGGACGGAGCGGACTGATGAGCAGTACACCCGCCCTTTGGTCGATAGTCGAATATCTCGTCTACGCGTAAACTGGTAAATGTGAAACGAGCCCCCTGCATCCGTGCTGAGATTTCGTCAGAGATCAAACCATTGGGGCTGATGGTACTTCCCAAATAAGTGAAGTGGTCAAGGTGCTCCACTAACCACTTCACTCCCTATTTTTAAACTAGGAGTCAGTGTAGTCCAGTCCAGTCCTGTAACATCATCTTAAATTTGACAGCAGGAGCGAATCTCATGCAAAACATACGTAGATTGCAGCTCAAGGTTTTCAGAAGACTCTGCATTTTGTCAGCGTCCTCGCCTAGAAGGACTATATCGCCTGGATATTCTAAGTCAACGAGATTATTCCCTGGTAGCAAGTAAATATAGAGACTACGGGTCACTAGGTTGATTTCAATAATGTCTTTACATCCATATGCAATAAAAGGTTGTGTCACATACTTAAATTCGTTGAAGGAAGTTTTGGAGATAGGTAGGCTTAAACCTGTCTTATGTGTCCAAAATTTATTTGTTATCACTTTGCACCCGCTGCGGCAATCCAAATTAAAACCAAGGCTCAATTAACTGGATGATATTTTCAACCTCTTCCTTGTTTTTACTTACCCCAGACCCTTTCATATTCTTCTTACATCTTATTTCTAACCTTGACCTGAATTGTAATACTCCACGCTGCCTTGCCTTCTATATAAATGCGTGTGACTAGTGTCTGTATAATCAGAATGTCAGAAATGTTTCGCTCAAATAAATCACATTATAAGTTTCAGATAACCTACGTCTTCGTATTATCTTGTCGAAGTTGTTTAACTGTTATCGATTCCAGACGAGATACGCATTGAAGTTAATCTGTGAATCAGTCTCAAGTTCATCAGTAGTTAGTGGATGGATGTCTTGCAGTTCTAAGGAGAAGATGCGTCTGGTGAAGTACACCATGTTGGATGTCAATTAAACGCTTATCGATGTAGCTGATCGGTTATAAGATTATTTCGTGAATAGACAGAAGGGAGAATCGACGAGTTACTGAATTCCAAACCATCGGTTAAATGATTAACTGTATCGCCGAGTAATTTGAGAGTTCAAAGTTTAATCGAGTGTGTACTGCTTACGATTGCCAAACTATGACGAACAGAAAGAAGGGTATTTGAACATGTACTAAAGAGCCCTCGACTAAAGTGACCGAATACTTTGAAATAGAGTGATCATATTATATATGTATATTAACTCCTCTATTACCAAGCAACTGGTAGACAAAGGACGTGGAATGGATGCATTGGAAAAGATTCAAAACAATTAAGAAACAAAACAACCCAAATCTTCTACATTTTGCTCAGTTTACCACACTAAAACGAGTGAGTCCTGAATCTGCCGCGGGACTTAAATTATCCTGGTAACGCTTTGCTTACTATCTCTTCGACATTTTGCTTCTAACCCTGTTCTCTACTTTTTGCTTGACTTTCATGGAAGACTTAGTGTTTCCCCCCCCTTTGAATTCTACTCAGGGTATTACGTCATCAATATCTTCGCATTTCACTTCGTAATACCGGGAATTTCTATTTTTCAGTCTTATGTGTTCTTCTCACTGTATTTTAATGATAATAATAAAGCTTTATTACGGAAAATATGAGAACGTATGGCACAAAACCTTTCAGAGTATTTAGTTCCAAAGTACTTTTCCCTTTATACAGGATTCACTTGTCAGTTAATAATCTGAAGGATATCTTCATTCATTGAAGAAATGCACAGCATTTACTTGTAAGCAAGTTAAATCAGCGCGTAAGTTCATGTGTAGATGATCTAATATAACTGGACGATTAAAAAAATGATAAATCCAGATGAAATTAAGCATTTGAGTGGAAAGTAATTTCGGTAGTCCAGTGATTTAAGCGGACCGCCTTTTCTAGCTAATTACGCAACTATCACTCACTTATCACCACCCTAACAAATGTTTTCGTCATTTTTTCAGAGAGAAACTTAGCTCTTATAATATACTAATATGTGGTTCTCTAAATGACGTCAGCTCATGATGAAATCCTTCATCCAATTAAAAGAAATCAGTACAAAATCAATACTTAAAAATTAATCTGATCCTCAATAGCGGCTGGCCCTATTCAGGCGATTACCTCGGGTTTTAGTGGGAAGCTGTGACAGTAGGATACAGCAAGTCGAAGGTGAGGCAGTAATTTATCCAAGAAGAAATTGTGAAGTTGTTGAGCTACGTCATGAATCGGCAGAAGTTAGAATCCATGGGCCGTTGGATCTGTTCCCATTGGCTTAATGGTCTACGAGCTCGACTTGTAACTAGAAGGTTGTGGGTTCAAACTGTGGCGGTAGGTGCGTGCTGATGAAGAGTCCCGAACTAGGACGGAAAAGCTGTCCAGTACTCCCAGGTTTTCCAGTGGTTCTCTAACTGATGTCATGATGAAATCCTTCATCCAATTAAAATAAATCCCTACAAATCAATACTTGAAAATATATGTCAATAATTTGAGATAACCTAATCATCGTTAGGTTTTGTTTCACTATGACTTTTAACCACAATCCTTAGTGGGAGACTGATTCGTTCTTGACAATAAACAAAATGTACATCAAAGTTGTATTATAACTGGTTTTAACCTTGTCCGGAACAAGCTGGATTCAGGAAAGGCAAATCATGTACTGATTAAATCGCAGCTCTACCCCTCGACATCATCGAACAAAGCATAGAATGACAATAAAACCTGTACTCCAACAACTTCACTGACTTCGAGAGTTGACCGAGAACTCATTTGGAAACTTCTAAACGTTACGGGATCCAGTGCACAAATCTTTATCAACCTCATTCAACAACTGGGCATATATATATGACAATGCCACGCGTCAGGTTATCGACAACGGGAAACTCGGCGAAGCGATCGAATTGAATGCAGGAGTAAGACAAGCTGACTGTCTGTGAGTTATCACCAATGATATTCCTAACTGTGGTGAACTGGATTATGCATCAGACTTTGAATAGGGAGTGAGAAGACAGGAATACGCTGCAATGACCGATAAAGAGACACTCGGAGTTCTGGACTTCGCAGATGACATTTGTTTAATGTAATTCAAAGTCGAAGACTTGCAGATGAAAACCAACACAGTGGCTGAAGAAGCAGCGAAGACAAGGTTTCAAGTGGACATAGAGAAGATAGAGGCGATCAATATAGCCAACCAACATCAACAACAACCAGCACCAATTACTATCAACGAGAGAGATTTGAAAGAGTTAGTTTCCTTCCTTCACTTATATAACCAGGAAGCACGCTTTCAAGCACTGGCCGTCGGAATGGATGAAGATGTCAAAACCAGTTCGCCAGAATCGGAAAGGCGAGATACGCCTTCATCAACCTGAAACCAGTTTGAAATCTTCTACACACAGCCAGTATAAACAATAAGATTCGGATTTTGAAAACAAATATTAAATGAGTCAGTCAGTTCCTCTATACGGGTCAGAAACGTGCACTAAGTGTCACGAAGAGTATTTCCAAGAAGCCACTGCAAACGTTTACCATCAGCTGCCTTCGCTGACTCCATGGTGAAGATCTGGTGGTCAGCCGGCCGGCCAGAAAGATTTAGCAACAAGAAACTCTGTCTGGCATCCAACCAACCAAGAGTCGATTGCTCAGCAAATATGCAGAATAAGATGGAGATGGATTGGGCATAAGTTAAGAAGGCCATCGAATGACATTGCGTGGAATTGTAGGCCATCGTTCGAGTGAAATATCAGTAGGAAGGAACGAGTATGTCGTCGTTGCGAGGGTGATATGCAGGAGATCATGTGAGCTGGAGGAGATGAGACATGATGGGTAATCGTGAATCCAGCTGAAGAGGATGGCATGAAACAGAAGAAAGTGGAGATGTGTTATTGAAGCCAGTCCTATGTTCCACTCGGAACCCAAGGGAATAATGATAATAACTGGTTTCATCAAATACTACAGATAGTCAGCAGTTGATGAGAACCATTGAAATATAATGGATTCATTGTTTTCTGTAGCAGTGTTTGTTCTATTTCTGTTCAAATTTATAAAAAGCAGAATCCCTGTAACCCTCTGGATATCAATTTCTCTCTAACCAACATTATTTCATGACGAAGTTTACATTTGAACTAATCCAAATCCCCAGAAAAACCCTAATTCTGAACATTCTCAAGTCATAGAGCATGTTTAATAAAAAGACTTTTTAAACACTTTTTACATCGAAAATAAATATCAAGCCAATTTTGTGTTTAAAAAACAATTTCTTACTTCAACATCAACACCGTTTGAGTGCTTTTTTGGTCCAAATAAATCATTCCAAAGTTCTTGTTCTCTTGCTTTCCCAAAACTTTTATTATTCCAAAGTTGTTTTTATTTTGGCAATATTGTTCAATTGAGTTTGAATTTAAGAAAAAGAAACAAAAGGATATAAATATGCGCATAAAATATTTCACAGATCGATAAAAGGTGATCGATATAAGTATAAAACTTGGGCACTGTGGTAGAGTATAGCTCCATTATGGATAAGATTTTATTTTGATAAATCATACAGTGTTATACCTGTTGTCCCAGAGAAATGCTCTTCATCAGATTTGACCGCTTCTCTTCCCCTCAACTTAAAAAGCTTCGCCGACAAAAAGAAAAGTTATATAAAATGAAGGACAATACTGGTTTGAAAAGAATTAGAATCCTAATAAAATCTGAAATTCACTGGTTGAATTCAATTTACAACCAAAAGTTTATATCCTGTAAAAATGCGTCTAATATATGGAAGCTTTTCTAAGAAATTACTGCTGGTAAGCAGATGAATAGTATTCCTTATTCCTTTGATGTTTGCACACTAAACAAGTCTTTCATATATTCTCCCACAAATGCCAAACTTTCTAGTGTTACAAGTGTTAATAAAACCTGCTTCCCTGGTTTCAGTACAAATGATGTTCAAAAATGTCTCCAGTCTCTGAACCCTTCTTGTAGCCTGGGCGCAGACGGTTTGCCTAGTGTTATTCTTAAAAAAATGTGCAGACGAACTGTGTTATCCTCTTATGGACATACTTAACGAATCTTTTTCCAGAAATGTCGTGCCAGCTGTTTGGAAGGACATCAAAATTGTACCTATACCTAAGTCGTCTACTGGAACATGTTCTAAATTTAGACCTATTGCTATTACGTCTTCTTTTCTAAAAGCTATGGAAAAGTTACTCTTACTTAATCTTCAACCTTTGCTTAAAGCCTTTAACGATCTTAAACAATTCGCTTATAAACACAGCAGAAGTACTTCAGATGCAGTTGCAGTCTTGTACCATAACATTGTCTCCAGCTTGGACAAGGGGGTTAGATTTGTTCGCTGCACCTTCCTAGATTACACATCTGCTTTGGAATAAAGTAAATTATTGTTATTATTACATAATAACTGATGACGTTTCGAGCGCAAAAAGTTGTGAGAGTAACGTGATATGATTATGAGTGGCAATAGTTTGTGCTCGAAACGTCATCAGTTAATATTACCGTAAAACACTGTGTGATTCATCAAAATAAAATCTTATCCATAAAAGGTGATCGAATTTAGTTATTTTTATGAGTTAAGATATGTAGGCCTTCTTATATTACATTCATGAGAAATATAGTCTGATGATGTCTACTGTGATATTGAAACGTTCACAGATAAGAATTCAACTGAAATCAATTCATGGTTAAGTAATCTGGTTGACTGTCCTCAATCATTTCATACAATAAATGTCATTCATATATATTAATGGACTAATAGTATTTATTTGTTAAACATGCTGATGAGTAATATATTAATTTTGATGTTGTTGAAGGGTTGGATCTAGTCAGCAGAAAGAAATCAACTTAGGTTTTATGTCTATAACCGCTTGTCTGGAAAGCTTCCCTATAATCTCGGTGAAAGTGATGTTGCCTAAAAGGTTCCAGTTCGCACCATCAAGTAATGGAGTCGCAAATGTTTCTAATGAAATATTCCGGCCACCAGTGACCTATTGTACAAATTTAGCGGAAAAACTTGTTTGGTACTGTAGTTAGGGGGATCAATTTAAAGTCCACTGAGATGCCAGTTCTCCCATCTAAGTCAGCAGATTGGAATCTTAACTAATATAACCCAGTCAACCATGAGGACATGAGGAACATCATGACCCTAGTCATACTCTAGTGACCATTTAGTGTATCTATAAGAGTCCTGCCGAAGTTCAGTCACCCCCCAAATAGCCCGACAGTAATATCTTTGACATTGGTTCGTATCTCTTAGTGGGAATTACTTCCTTCTAAGTGTTAACCAGCACAAACCTTAGGCACTGGATTTTCCCCAAAAGTTCCCACAAAACAACATTTTACATTTTTAATGCTCTTTGATAAGACAAAGGAAAATTTCATACATTTGATTCCCTTCATAAATTTCGATAGAGAAAGAAAGACTAGATTTGCAGTATAAAATGATATCGCCATCATTATATTTCACAGGCTCTCAGAGTAAAATTACTGATATACAGAGGAGAAACTTTTAGGGGTTAATTTCATTGGCTAAAATTGTAATTCAAGATCTTCATGTAGTCACAGTTATAAGAAAAAGACATAAACAGCGAAGAAAATTTTCTTTTCGACGATTCATTCTCATAATCTGTTGTACAATCGTAATTAATATTTAATTAATTTAATTATTTAAAACAATTAGTTCCCTTTATGAATTTAGATAAAGCAATAAGAAGACGTAATTTGTCTGAATCGTGTAATGTATTTGCGCAACACATTTCGAACAATCTGATCACACACGGACTTGTCATAGGAATATATATATAAAAAATTAATAAAGAGGTAAGAGGTGAGAAAAATAGACTTAGGTCAAGTTAAAAGGACATATTCAAGGTCAAAAAATAAAAATGAAGACCACTAAACCAAATAGCAGAGGTAATAGTACATCTACTATGGTATCAAAACAAAATTTACCAAGGAAGGTTTAATGTGATGACAAATTGTTTTTGAACGCATAAAGGTGGCTTGAACTTTCTAATTGCTAGGGCTTCTACAAACTTTAGGATACGCCCCAAACACGTTTTATAGATAGGTTTAAAAGATCTGTTAACATCAATTTTATGACCTGTCTCTATAATATGTTTCGCAATAGAAGAGCTAGGTCTCCTGTTCTCACCGTTAATAGGTTCTGATGATTCCATTTGTTTCTGGAGCCATTTTGGAATATGCTCTGAAGCCCTTACTTGCAGAGATCGATGAGTCCTCCCTATGTATGTGTGTCCACACGTACATTCAAATTGGTAAATACAGTGGGATGTGACGTCATTTTTCGCATGTTCGAAGGGCTTAGATAGATATAATGGCTTTACATTCTCTAATATTATGATATTAGCTGCATAAAAAGTCTTTTTAACAGCAGCGTTCAGCCTTTGTCTAGTTATCAAGCTGCTTTGATGTCCCATATAGGGTAGCTTGATGTACACGTCTTTCTTAGGGGCGAGTTGGAGAGTGGGTCTTGGTGTTCTGACTACTTTATATCTCCTGATGAACTTTTCTGGATAATTGTTATCAACCAGAGTTTGTGTCAATATTCTTTCTTCTTCATCAAGCGTGTCTTCAGTGCATATTCGTCGGATTCTACTGAAGAGGCACCTTACTAAGCCTCTTTTGTACCGAATAGGGCAGAAACTGTGGTAATTAAGATACTGTCCTGTCCAGGTAGGTTTTCTATAAATAGATCTTTTTATTGACCCATCAAGCCGTCGACTAAGCAATATGTCTAGGAAAGATAAACAATTATCTTCCTCTTCTACAGATGTAAGTGATATGCTATTCTGAACTTCATTCATTCGATTTAAAATTGAGGTGGCAGAACAAGGCTTATCACTGATGACTACGATATCATCTACATACCTTCTATAAAGTGGCACATTTTCGATTAAATCTTCCGATAAATTCTCAATGTACGACATATAAATATCTGCTAAAAGGGGCCCTAACGGACTGCCCATAGCAACACCATCAACTTGGCGGAAACAATCGCCTTCAAATGTAAACCTAACATTGTTAGTACATAGAAGTAATAAATCTCTTAAGTAAGATATAGGGAACGGGATGAAAAAATTGTTTGTGGAAATATAATCACACAAAATGTCAACTGTTTTGATCAAAGGCACATTAGTGAATAACGAGTTTACATCAAAAGAGTACATATTCTTGTTCATAATATTAATATTACTATCATCAAGAACATCAACCAATTCAAATGTATCTTTTAACACATACTTACAGAATTGTGTTTTGACTGGATTCAATAATTCCACTAACCATTTAGCAAGTTTATGCGTTGGGGATTTGCACATTGACAATATAGGACGTAGAGGATTATTGGGTTTATGTATTTTTGGCAACCCATACATATGTGGGAATTTACAATCTGACGGTTTTAATGAGTCAAGTTTATCTTTACTTATAGCATTTAGGCCATGAAGCTTCAGTAGATTAGCTGTCACTGTGCCCTGCAACAACTGAATATCTTCTGAGGAGGGATCACGACTAAATTTGCTCTTATCATCAAGAATAGACATCATTTTAGATTTGTAGTCACTTTTATTCATAATGACGACTCCAGAACCTTTATCAGGTTTAGTAATAATTATATTAGAATTTTCCCGTAGCTCTTTCAAGGCTTTGAAATGTTGGGAATTTAAAATACTCTTCTCCTTTGGGTTGTTGTTTAAAAACTGGTGAGCTATATCCACCATCTTGGCCTTAAACCAACCCCGATCTTCATCGGATGTTGCGGTAAGAGGTTTGAGTTGGTCATATAAGTTTTCAAACTCAGCATGGATGGCTAAATCCGTAAATTGCGTGCGAGGAACACAAAATTTGAGTCCAAGGGATAAAGCTTCTTTCTGATGAGTAGATAGAGTAATATCAGAAAGATTTGTAACGTACTTATCAGGATTCACCGGGAAGACATCTACGCGGTTTCGATCATCGATTGAACTCTTCAATTTATTTTGTATATTCGTCTTCGTTTTCTGAGTAACGTCTTTACAAAACTGAAGAAATTTCATGTGGCATATTATTGATAATTCAGATAAAATAAGCGACGCATCGGTATGAAGAACAAGTAGTCCTTGTAAGGTTTGTTTAACATTTTCGATATGTGACTTTGTAAGACGAACAAGATTAGAGATATTTGGTTGTAATTTACTGAATTTCAAAGTTTTATAAAATTGCCTCGGGAAAGAATGATTTTTAATACATAATTCATAAAATTCCAACGTGTTACGTTCGACGATAATTTTACACCTTAGGTTAACAAGTTTTTATTAATTAATTAATATTTACATTAGACCA